CCTACATGACAACGCTCTGTCGCATGCAGGCCACCCATTGATAAGTAAAATTCAAAAACAAGTTGTATATAGAATGGGCTTAATTTTCTAAAAATGCCAAACGATATTTGCACTTCATTCAGGTTTAACGTATGTTAGCCTTATTTGAGAAATCGGAAATCCGCTCAACGAGACTATGAGGTTTTGATGTGACTAGATACGTGGCACCGTATTGTTGATAGTAGCCTCTTCATATTATACGCTGAAGTTTCAAGTCGAAATTTTGTCGCTAGAATAGTTTATACAGCTTAGTTGAAATAGATTATAACACTTGGATCTTGTCCGACAATCAGAAACTTCTAAATCGTAGCTACAACAGGTAGCTACGGCCGTAAGACCTAATTTCTTCTCCGTTTCCTATTGCTTCCTGTTTTGTAATGATGATCTTGAAATAGCGCTGTTTTCGTTTGAAAATTTGTTGCGTAAAGATACTCAGTTTGGCCGTTTGTGCTGCATCAGATATCAACAATAAAATGCAGCATAACCTATGTGCATGATATGCGATTTTTCGAAAAACGTGATCTGAAATAAACACCAAAAAATGAAGGAGAACGGCAAAAATGTGTGGGGCATTTTGCACGACTATTGCCGACAAAAGGCCCCTCTTGGTTACACATGTCACAGAAGTTCGTACTTCCGTTTAAGTTCCTAAGGTGCAGTTATCTGTTTACGTACGATATGTCAGAGGTCATGAAGTGTTTTATCTAACGACGATTGACCCAGCTTATAGCTGACCGTCGAATATTCTTTACTTGTGGCGACTTTTTTAATGAGAATCCTTGGGTAATTATCTTAAGCATGGCTTCCGATCTAAGCTTGACAAATCTTCAAAGAAGCGGTGACCTTAAATACGAAAGCAAACTGTATTCAAACCGTGAATATATTATCATGTATTTTCACATAACTGGTTATAATAATGATATTCTTCATAGTGGTGTTTTTTCGTCACGATATACACACGTACTATGAATGTCGGCTGCACAGTTCTTGAACGGCATGCCGACATTATGATAAGGCTAATTTGTGACCCTCACGTCTGAGATGTCAAGCAGAACATGCTGACCATACTTTACAAAATCATACCTAGGGCCAATTTAATATTATTCTATATGTGAGGGATGTATATATATATATATTACATGTGTTCCGTCGCTGCTCACTGAGTATGTATGCTAAAATAGCCTTTTCCGTATAACTATCGATTAAATTCACCCAATATATTGTTAATATCATGAACAAGTGTCGTGTGTTAGTCAACAGAGTGTATCCAGCAACAATACGTTAACATCAACACACGGATAACACGTTATGCTGTTTCTCGTCTAGCGAGGTGGGCACTAGGTTTCCATTTCGGCGAAATACATTGTTTGTTCAAGGCTCCGACGAGTCTCTCAAACGTTATATGCCGCAGTTGCGGTTATGTACGATACAAATATAGTGTTGCGTTGGCTAGATCGGTCGACCACGATCACATTACACCGACGAGGAAGCTTACGCCGTATGTTAAGGGGTTGCTTGCGGAATTAAGCGACGCCGCCCACCGTGGTAAGTGGAAGGAAGGGGGGGGGGGCAGAAAACGTTTTTGATTTAAGCCGACTTTGCGCGCGCACAAAGGTGCCCAAGCTAATTCTCGTTTGCGCATCTTTTAGAGAACCGATGATAGCGTCGCGTTCGAGCTAAACACAAGGTTATAGAAACTCCGATTAAGCCAGATGACAGACAAATTACTGGAAGGCAAACTACGTTTGTTCTGAATAGTTTTAGTAGTCGTTCCGCTTATTTTTTTATTGGTAAAATGATAAAGCAGCAGTGGATAAAGTGATATTTAGGCAGTCTAAATTGAGTGAGCATAAAATTCGACAAATTCTCATATAATTGCGGTGAGAGAAGCGGTTTAGCTTTTAAGAACCGCACACGCGATGGCAGGAGGTATGTGCAAGACGCTCCCATACCCATAGCATTAAATGTAGGCAAAGAGTCAGGTATTATCAGCGTTTAATGTATGGTTGAAGTTAGTATCAAATACTCGAGCCCTCACATGCTTTTTCGTTAATTAAGATCCACATGTACCTGATATGAAGAAACATATCGGTACAACACGGACCTATTTAGGACAAAGATTTAAATCTTAGAAGAACAAATCGATTGAAACAAACATTAAATAGATGGGACGCTTGCCAGAGATAATTTAATTTCACTGCCAAGTTCTACCCAGCAAAAAAGGCGCTGTCTTCACGTTTCTGTCAGTTGCTCCATGACACAAAAATCGAAATATTCTATTCCATCTGGTTCCACACTGCCAGGTTGCTCCGCGAAACATAATTCACAGCGCACGAATTCGGTTGTGTACTTTTATTGGACTAATAGATAAGTGTGTAGTTTGTTTGTAAGATAACGTACGTCGCGTTAGCTCTGTTCGAACTATAACTATTCGAAAGGGAATCGCGGTCTTTTACTTCTGATCAGCTTTCGCTCGGGAAGGCAGCGACGCGGCTGCCTTCGCAGGATAAAATCGTTCCTTGACTTATGAATGTCGTTGGCATCAGTTTTTATAAGAAAATGACCCTTGTTTTAGCATCGGATATCGGTCGAGAGGTAGCAGCACACGCGTACTACTCCATTCACTGGTGCATCTCGGTCACAACGCATTGGTTAGGGACCAACTTCTAACTTGGAGGTTCTATATAACCGAATAAATGCTAAAGATAGCAATTCTCACTGTACTAGCCTTTGATTCCATGTTGATTATGCACGAGCTTGTGTGTGGTAACGTTGAAGACACGTTAGGAAGTTGTTTTGTGGAGATTTTGTAGAGCTGCCTTAAGCGTTGTTTCTCTTCTCAGTATGCACGTCGCCATTTCAAGTTGACTGGCAAAATAAAAACTGTATTATTATCATTGTCATCTATAGAAATACGAACAGAAGAGGAAAAAGGAAAGGCAGTAATTTACTAAATTAGTTGTTGGCAGTTAATGGCACCCATTAGCCACTAGGCATGCCGGAGACCTGCGCCTATTAATATGACTACATTTAACAGATACAAGGTCACTTTAGAACTGTGGTTCACATCGATTTGTAACGCTAGCGTATTATACAACTATGGCCGTGATAGCTTCGTCTACTGTGCTGGGAGCCAGACGTATGAAGGAAGACATAACGGCGATACTGGAGGTAAAATTTGAAACAGGCACAGTAGTGTGCTAGATAAGATTGACAATTAAGACTATAGTGGTTCTTGGGGTAACTATGTGGTCTTGGGGAATGAGTTCGTTCGGCAACCGTCGACCACTATAAAGAGGTCTATATCAGGATATATAGATTACTTTTATGAGTTTAAGACCTTGCAGAAGGAACTTAGGTTTGTATTTTTTTGGGGGGTAATATCTTGTTTCGGTCTTTGTTTTGGTTGAAAATGTCTGAAGTATATCGATGCAGAAATCTATTAGAAGGTTGGGATTATGGGTTTTCATATTACGTCGTTGAAGTCGAAGCAATATAGATGTCATTTGGTAACGTATTATTTGTAAACGTAACGAACATCTATATAAAAAGCTGCATTGTTGAGACTCATAGAAATCATGAAGACGCTAGCTAACTGTCCTTCATGATCCATTTAATTTTTCAAAGAAATCTTCATACCATCAATATATAATATAAAGAAGAGTGCGCCGAGCTGAGAGCGAGCGCTTGAATCCGTCGTCTTACGGAATTACTTTAGCGGGTTTTTGCGAACCGGAAAAAATGAAAGTTAGTAATAAACGCCTTAGATGGAGACAGAGAGTTATCACTTTTTTTTCTGACAGCGGTTGCTGTCAGACTCCGTTTCCTTTATTGAAAGTACGCTGCACCCACATTTCCCGTTATTGTTATAGCATTTTTGTTCCACAAGGGCCGACTGATAAGCTTGTTAGCAAATCGGTAACTTCAGTTAGGTTACCAGTTCTCGGTAGATCTTTAAATCAACAAAATAGGATTTTTGAAGAGTTACGTAGAACTAGCTTTGAGCTTGCCGGACTCGTCCTTGACAAAATCCTGTTTTGGTTTTGATAGCGTTTGTGACTGACGACCACCCAGAGTAACGGTAGCAAGCTAGAAGAGGACCTTGAAAAAATTTGCAGAAAGAATTTATTCAGGACTGATTTTGGAAACGGCTTCAGGATATCCTTGGTTGACCTCATGACACCAACAGACTGCCCCATAAGGGGCTGTGGCAGTTTTCAGAAGCAGATTATGTCATACTGCAAGTCGAACCTTATAATGTTCATTAAAAGAAACCACCACCTTATCCCTAAAATAATAAATAAACAGACGTCTGTTCCCTGATCGGACAGAACTGGTTTCGTACGCGAGACATCCTAATCTACTTTTTGTTAAAGACATCACCAGCATTAAGGAATCTCTCGTTTGAAAGAAAAGCCAGCGTTCGGTGCTAAGAAGTTAAGGCCATTTATTCAAGAAAACTCTTTTAATCTAGAAAACCTCTTCACATTTCCAAAGCTTACTTCACTAAGTTGTGCACTTCTGTTATCTACAAAGTGTCCCATTATGATTTGTCACCAGCGGCGATGTTTGTAAACGTCTATGCACTGGTTTGTAAATTTAAATTTTATCATAGATAAATATAATAATTATCATAACAACTCCTTGCTCTTCGTTGCTTAACGCTTGTGATGTGTTCTAAAGGACGGATGCTCCAAGGGCAATCTCTCATGACATCACTTCATAGACACTTTTCATGCCAATGGCTTAAAAAAATTCTGCATAATCATTGAACAAACTATAGTAGAATCTTATTTCTCTCACTCGTTTTTATAGGGATAACGATTTCATAGGCTTGATGTATAGATAATAATCGATATTAGTGTTATCGTAAAAAAGGTTGTCCTTACAAAACACGTACGAATATTTTTTGGCTGTTTGTACATTTTCATATCGACTCTCCGATCATGCTCCAACGCTAGCAGCCCTCAAGGCCGCATCAGTACGCTTTGGGCGTCACCAAGTTACTCTTAAGCCCTTTCAACCACTTCGACTGCGGTGTATTTTGCGCGGAAATCCGTTGCCCTACGTGTATTGGACGAAGGACGGCGTACCCCTACAGACCAACATGTCTTCAGGGTGAGTTTGCCAACGGTATTTTTTCCGTATTGTATGGAGGAAACAAAACGGTAGTGATTTTACATTGAACGTCTACTAAATAGCTATAGGTACGTTTTGCTCCTATTGGTATCAGATTTGAAAAAGGATGCTAGACGGGAAAAAAGTGAGGCATTGACCCAAGTTTAAGTTGAGTTAATACTACTAAATTGTATTTGTGTTGAATCATACAAGAAAAATTGCCCGTGTAATTCATATAAAAATGGCTGCTAGATTTCGGATTTCAACATGTCAAAATTGCCAAACAGAAATAACAAAACACTGTCTGGACATACTATATTTTTGCATTTTTTGTACGAAATCTGGAGCTATATGCATGGCGATTGAACGTACGATTAAAGACTAAAGCGTGAAGTTACAATTAGGGTTAACCAACAACATTCTGATTCAGAATTCGGTGGTCATTGACCGCTCAGGTCAATCGAATGTGATCAGTCACTAAGCAATGAGCGTCAATGGTCAAACAGATTTATCAGAGAGATAATCGCAATTAAGTCGATCCAAAGCCAGTCACAGTCGAGCATGAACCTAAAAAGGACACTTATACTGTTGTAATGATACAGTTCGAAAGTTGTCGGAAGGAATACAATACATCACGAACTGCCAACATCTTTGTCCGTTTAACGTCAATGTTATTGTTTTTTTTTTTTTTAGGACACAAGGTTAAAGATTAGATCGTATACAGTGGTACAGCTGTACCTTGTAATTTCATTCTTCATCTTTGACTTGAACACTGGGTAACACGTTTTAGATACACAAATAGTCATATGAAATGAATAACCACAACTGCGATATTTTTCGATTTTTATTGCGGTTAAAAACAGTAAACAAAGCGTACCTGTTGTCAACATACCAATTTGAATTGAATATATATTGCCCGCGTAAACGTAGAGACAGCAAAGTTTATAGGTAGGATAATTATGTTCATACTTAGTTAAACGGAAGGACCCCAGCCGAATATAGTAGACACGTCGATGGTAAGACAGCTCGTGCGGTAAGCGTTGCAGGGCCGTCTGAGGAGGCAGCACTGTGTCATAGTGAAGGACGCACTGAGTTTACGCCGCGACCTCCTCCAACCTTCGGTTAAATAATGGCACCGCTTTATAGCGTAGGTTATATTTGCGTGTGACTGATTCTTTTCACTTGTTCTAATTTCCTGTTTGTATACACTATTACGATATATGTATGTATATGCTGCACCTTCAACGACGACGACGACGACGACGACGTCCGTCTTTCATTGCTTCTTTGTTACCAACAAGAGCTTTCGGCTTTTACTGAGTGGTATTATTCTTTGATGATATTGTTTGACGTGACTTCTGATTTGCCATCATTTGTATCGCTATTTAACTTAGCATACATTCAATATTTGTCCACAAATGAACCGTAAAATGAGAATTGCCACCATCTCCTACGACTGGAAAGCTACGTCTCTATATACCTTTTCTATATTTATCCTAATTAAACGAGAAAATAATCGAAAGTTTCTCTTGATTTGAAACGCCACAGAAATTCTTTACACTGCCATACCTTCTATATTTTATAGCTAACACCGCTTATGGTCATAACGTACAAAATACTGATATTTTCATTAATGATCGTCACCAAAAATGGAAGAACATTAAAAAGGCTTTTGTTTCCATTTGCTTGAAACTCGTGTTAACCTTCGGATAACGAGAAACGTTCAAAGTCGCCGGTTTTATTCCTTGACGCTCGTTCTCTTCCAACAAACTATTGTACATATATAAGCCGCCGTAACTGCCGGCGCACTTATTCGCCAAGCTTTATAAACAAGCGCCTACGCTGTTTTAACTTGATCGCAACACGTTGCAACCTCTTTCTTAATTTCTTTTATCGCTTCTTCGTCGTTATGGCATTTATGTTGTAGATTTTGTCTTTGCTTTATACTGCCGAAAACTGACCCTCTACTTATGACCTAGACAAAAGTTCCGCGATATTATATGTATATATATTGTGTATTAAAATATATGTATTTACATTAGTTTACGAATCCTATCAAGACGCACTGGGCTGGCGTGTGTGCATTTGACATCTTCGTCCCGCACTCACTGGCCCCCTCTGACATCATCTGAAAACATTGTGCGTCAGATACGCCTACACAACGCAACCTATCTAGCCTAAATAGACAACATTCACATCGCGACCTGTTGCGAGTAAAAGCAGATTAAGACAATAGATTGCAAATAAAAACTCTAAACTTCATACAGGCTAGTAAAACATACGTTAACTGCTATTGATTCCTGGTCTTAGTCTTAGTTAGGTGGAACTGCTAACTTTGTTTAACGATACACATTCGGTTCTGCCGCCTTTACTAAGCACATACTACCGACCTGTGGATCAGGTCCCAACAATTTTGTCGAAATGCTTTTAAATTTCAAGAGCCGTTAGGCACGTTGAAAGCAAAATGAAATAGGAAGTCATGACAAAGATCAAAGCATACTGATCGAAGAAAAGGAAAAGAGATTCTAGACAAAAATCAGCTATAAAACTATTGCCTGATTGGAAATATCGTTTATTTCAACCTATTTCAACCTAAATGTGTATGTACATTCAAGAACATGTATTGTTTCGTTATTGTTGCCATTGATTTTCTGAAAAAAAAAAAAAAAAAGCGCGGCTTTCGCAGCTATCTGATACTCTTCAGACGAGCTTCCGTGGCAGACTGACATGTGCCGCAACAGAGGAGAACGCGACCTCATCAAGGTGACACCATACAGCACTTTTGTTTCGCATGTACATGATCAGCAACAAATCATATATTGTTTCCAGTTCTCTCCGGAGTACGTATTTGTTGTTATAAACATTGATCTCTCTCGTTGTCGTCGACGCTTTGCCGCATTTCAAAGTGTTACATATGCTTACTTATGCATCTAGCTCCATTTATGTATACTAATCCTGAGCAAATTATACAACATTTATGACGATAACAGTTGCAATCGTTTCTAATAATATACTACTGGTTGTTGTAAATGATGTCAATTATATAGTAAAAGCATAGATTATATGTTATTAATAAATGGTAACTTTTATGCTACTTCGACGACGTCCTTGGCTCGGTAGCAGTGGGAGTCCGGGGTCGTTTCGTTAGTACTCGAACGCTTAGGTATCGCTATAAAACTGCTGTTGTCAATATGTAACAATATATATTGTCTGGCGTTCGTTGTTTTCGATCAAATTTTAGAAACAAGTGACTCAACTCCAATGACGCCGGCGGCCATTCAATAGATACAAGATCGTATAATACAATTGCAATGGTAGTTTAATTCAGAAAGGAATACTCGGACTAAGTTCTCCTAACGATGAGTACCGCTCACTTCAATTGTCCTTTTTCGCTTTCGAACGAGTGGCGACTCCGTTCTTTTCTCCATCGGTAGAGTTGTTCTTTGTACTCGATTCCTTTCCGGCAATGACCGTTTTCTGATCCTGAGAAGGCTGCACAACAGCGGCCGTCTCCTCGTCGGGATTGTCGCGGTACAGGAAAAGCTCCTTAATTTCACCCTTTACAAAAGCAGTAAATAGGGGTATGCCAACGCACAGTGGGACTAGGTAGAGCAGCGCGGGTTGGGCATGCTTGAAAACGGTCATGACGATGACGGTGATGAGTAGGCCAATCACGTACGAAATGAATGCTACTATAAAATAAAGTTTCGAGCCAGAACCTTTGTTCAGGTCATAGCGAAGCAACAAAGCGATAAATATGCCAGGAATGACTATATCACCTAGGCCAAGCATTGCATGGTGCGATCCCCACACTCCCACTTCAAGGAAATCCTGTGGGAACAGCAATTTGATTGGGGCTTCAAAGCTTTTGGCGACGGTCACCATGACGTCGGTACCAAAAACCCAGAACACATCATAGACGAACAATCCTCCAAGGAGAATGCAGCCGGTAGCCACCGAGTTGAGCTGCAGAAGCTCAATGCCGTTATGAGCGAAGGCAAGCCCGAAAACGTTGTTGGCAATCCAGTGTTTCTTGAGCAGGTACCAAACCCCCAGGCCACACGCAAACGCTAACGCCATTAGGTCGAAGTGATCGAATGCCAATTCGAACACTGTATCCTTTGCCTTCAGACGTTGCATATGGAGATGGTACTCCTCGTTGCGAACGAGTTTTTCGTTGATGACGTGACGCAAGATTGGTGCTGTTACATGTGCCAACGCTAGAACTCCGATCAAAAAGAAATAAAATGTCAATAGCATATTGACGTGTTGGGTACCGAAAATCTTAAATATCACATACAGGCCGAACAATGCACCCGAAGCGACTAGGGGAAACATCATTGCATCCTTAGTTGACATAGTTTCGGTTTGTTCACCGGACTCCTTCGACGACTTCTGATTTTGAGCGGACTTGAAACTTCCGAAGATGATTGGTAAAATCGACATAATTAGAATGCTAGCATATGCTGTCACCATCCCTCCGGTTGTTGCCTGATACTTCGATTTTTCAGGGGCGGAATCCGGTTCAGATGCATTCTCAGCAGCCTGCGCCAGAAGGCTTTTGCCAATATCTAAGAGAAATCCGACTTCCATGGCTGTTGCTTCTTATTAGGCACACTTCACACGCACACTACTAGACCAGTAGTAAAAAGGAAAATTAAATAGCACCTCAATTAACAAAGCGAACGGTGCTCAGGTGCCACTTAACTGCTGCTGTTGTTACTGGCACGAGGAGTTGATAGCTGAGCTACACGGAACGAGGCCGCACGGAGGGTACAGACGGAGAGGAGCCGGCCGCAGGCCACGGCTACCAGCTGCTAGCGACTACGGATGCCGTGGCAGAACGATTCTGATGACATCAACACAAAGCCGCAATGGTCGCCGCCATCTCGGAATAGAAGCATGAGAGAAGGGCTGACACGCGCCAAAATTTAAGAACGCACCCAGTTACCATTTACGCCGCGCTAGGAATAGGCTCGCGCATTTGTGCCAGCCTGTTGTGTTTTTGTCTATGACAAGCTTAAATTGCTTATGAGTTGCATACGGAGAGAACACTATATTGATAGGGTTGTCGATGTGAATCAAAAGGGCACATGAGAGGCGAGCTTACCTAGCGCCTGAAGTAATGCTGAGCGATAGTACTCCGAAGCGTTTCTTTTTATAAGAACTATCCCCAACGAGTGTCAATAACTAAATTGAACGAGAACGAGAACGTTTCCTTATGCCGCGCATTCAAAATCTGAATGTCAAGTAGCGTTTTTACATACGCCTATATCTTTCAAGGTTGCCAAATTTCTTTTTGGAAACAAGAGTAACTCACCGAAAGCTATTCTGGATTTCGCATAAAAATAACCTAATCGATAGTGACAGTAAAGAGTATACTAAAGGGTTATCGTAAGCCACAGCCTACGGATGGCCCCACAGGCTCAGACCTTTTGCGTCGGATACGCTCAAGCAATGATCTTCAAATATCTTAGAAATATTTATTAATTATTGTAAAATTATACGAAAAATTGTAATGAACAAACGCAACGCGAAACGTTTTTGACTTTTACGCCTATATGAAGTCTTTATGACTTTAACGCCTCTATGAAGTCACCACATTCTTTCGAGCTAACAAATCACAAGCTGCTATAGCTTGGAATCATTTTAATCTTTGATGCTTTCAAGCAGACTGGTGCAAAAATTACTTGATGTCATTTTACTGAGATTTTCGAAATTGAAATGTTGCTTAACAGTTTTATTCAGTAACGGTGAACATGTTACTGAATCCTATACAAACTTTGAAAAATAACTGACGGTCTTAACACCCTGTGAACCTTCGGGAGAAGCTAACCATGTCCATAGCCGTCCTATGTGCTCCTCGGACTATCTTTGGTTTTCTAAATTGGTGCTTAAATTGGTGCTTAAAAAGAAGCGTTGTATGAAATACTATTTATTCGGAGTTATATAACTTTGTATTTTCTAAAAATGAGGTTTGCCAACCATGGGACAGTCACATAGATGGATCCGATCACTTCGGATAAGATCGGTTTTCGTCAGTGAATCTATACGCGCCGCTGATAATAATCTGTTGACTCAAATAGATAAGCTAATGGGTTCGAAAGCAAGTAAATTTCTACATCACATATATAAGGCCGCACATCGACGAGTTATTTGATTTATCGGTATTATTACTATTATTTATAGTGTCTTTTACTTAACTGTACATCATATTATGAGGTGCGTGGCTATTTCAGAATTATTTCTAATATGCCAACATGAACGGTAGAAAAATCACTTTTAAGATTTTTACGTATAACGTAATGCGTACATAATAAACTTTGCAATACATAGAAAACGGCATGCATAATCTTAAATAGCACATTTATTCCGCACATTTCCGTGAACTTTACTATAATAATAAAAATAACCATGAAAAACCGTTCGTAAGTACATTAAATATATTTTTCTTTCTTTTTGGTGCTGTTCTACTTTCGTGCCGACCTATTCGTCAATACGCGTCATAGACGCTTCCTGATTCGTCACAAGCGACGACGGTCACGCCTTAACTTAAGTTCGGTGCGAACTACCGATTCTGGTGAGTACCGATGTACGGCTTCAAATGTCATTTCCAGACACCCGGCAAGCGCATCCGTCCACGTCACAGTTCGTGACATTGTCTTCGAAAACCGTCGTTCTCCCTGGGACAGACCCAGGTCGGAATATCACGAACAAGCAACAAATGGTAGGGTTACTACTATTTTTTGTTTCATTAATTTTAGCAAGTGCTGTTCTCAATATTAACGGTCTAGAGCCCTTTGTTTTGCTATGAGAAAGTAAACGCTGACGCATCTCTAGTCTTATAACTTGGCATAAATATGCGCTAAATATAATTGTTGTCATCTTCAAAGCTGATTAAAAAATATGAACCCATTTCATTTGTAATGCACACGAAATGCGGTCGGAAAGATAAGTTATCCGAAAAAACATTTGAATCCAGTCTTGGACGTTAGAACATACTGCTTAATAGAATCTAAGTTATACTTTAGAAACGAGGAGCACAATCTGATTTCGTTGTCGCATACAGTTACAGCGTGACACAGTTGCTGTAACAAGAACGAGCACACATACTTGTAACATATTCTAATATTTAGATTTTATGTTTACGATAAAAAAAAACTTGAGGGTATTCTGATTCTAGACAAACCCTTCTAAAACGCTGCCATAGCACGCTAGAGGCGATCATTAAGGTGCACTTCCGTATAATAAAAAAGACAGTGTGAACTTTTTTAGCCGTCCACTTTGCGGATCCTCTTCCCTAGAAACAGAGAGAGAGATTAACTGAAATACATAAAGAAGCTTTTTTTTGAGCACTTTTACCGTTACTCTCTTCCTTTGATGAATTCGACAGATTCGACTCATACAACACTCCCGTGCCCTTTGTCATCATATTGTCTCAACGGGGCGACTTGCATCCTTCTTGAAATGATCAGCGAGCCCTACTGCGTGTGTCCCGATGGCTTCCATGGCCTGCGCTGCGAAAATAAATTGGTACTGGTACATCTCGGAAGACCTTCCCTCGACAACGCTAACAACCCCCAGTCGATTGGGTCCCCCGGTATGTTGTGGCCAGGTACGCATGCTTCTCCCCCTTTCGTCGCGCCCTTATGTTGACGCGACATGATGAAAATTGCATTATCATGGTATAACATTATGCGTCCAGCGTACCATAACTGTCGGTCGCCATTGACAGCGAATGTTACGATCTAAACAACAGATCATCACTAATCAGCAGCCTCAGTATATCGCTATACACAATAGAGTTGAATTGTAGTAATGCCTCGCTACTAACCTCAAGTCGGGCTTCCGTTGATTTACCCTCAGTCGGCTTAACTTGTCGAAAAACGTATCTATGGCAGGTAATCAAAAATAACTGCACGGTTCCCATCTGTCGATAGTAAAGTTGATGCCCTTAACGCTGCTATCGACAGATGGGAGCTAAGGTTTCGCATCGTCAACTGTTGTATGCATGCTAAAGGTAGACATAATTATCGTGATAGCGGTTGAGGTACGATAACCGACAGGGGTTTAATCTGTTTACGCTAGGACGTATATCATAAGAATGCACTATGGACAGTACATTTTGAGCTGAGTAATGTAATAAATGCCGCACAATAGAAAAATGATTGAGCAAAAGCGTTTGTTTTTATCAAAAATTTAACTACGCAGTATCAATAACTTACGTTTATAAATACAGAAAGCGTTCGTGTCTAGCCTTGGAAAACTTTTGTTAAGGTATGAGTAAATCACCGTAAATAATCGTACTGGTAATGGTTTCGCATTTGACTGCCAACACTGCACTTACCACTCAAACGAGCTGACCATATGTCGTCTATTGGGAGGACTCTTAAATATACTTTTAGCGAATTAGAGACGGCCCTCAGGGCTGTCAGGTGATCAACTTAACACCACGCAGCTCATTAGAAATTCAGACGGAGGTTTCTTCATCATGGCATTCGTGAGCAGATGTCCAAATGCTTTTCATATTTTTACATCTATGGACAATATAAAAAAAGAAGTTAGAACTTGACTGGTCGAGTCTCTCTAAAAACTATCTTGATCTAGTATAGAAAAGAAGGTTCTTAACATATTAACCTAAAATATATACTAAAGAATTGTGCAAAACGTTGCATAGTCTTGGAGACCTTCAGTTTATGTTCGACTAAGCAAAAACTATTTTATCCCTCGTTTCTTATAATGAATGTTGTTTTCAGCCGAAGAATACCAAGTAAGATCTCTGAAGGACCACCCACTCTGGAGGCGATTAGAACAGCATAGCCGGTCAGCTGGGTTACAGCGTCGACAATGATTATGATGATTTTAGTATTATTATAGTTAAAATGTTTATTGAAGTTTCGAAGACATCGAAATGGAAATGTTGCCAGAGACAAACGACGATCTTCCTCAGCGAAAGGAAGTTAACGATAAATCTACTCTAATAGCGTGGATACATATACATACCGAGTAGACAGACCGTCAGCGGTATTTTTTTCGCAATAGTATCAACAATATTTCAACAAGTATTATTATGGAAGGATATATACAGACAAGATAATAGAAATGGGAACTATTATAGCTACTGTTTGACCTTGTGCAGTCAAATCCTCAGAGACCCTTGGAGCCTTCTCTTTCTCAGTAATCGTAAGGACGCCGAATTTCATGTAAGTAGCTTTTGGCGACATCAAACAGGTACATATTATATAGGCGACAATATTTCAAATTACTAATTGATTGATAAGCATTATTCTTAGAATACAGGATCGATAGAGATGTGGGAGATCTTCACGTTAAAGCTTTCTTCTAGCCCATAGCAAAACGATCACGATATGCCAACAAGATCTACTACCATGTGCATATATTTTAAGATAAAATATATCAATAACTTACACCATCCTAGTTATTCTGCAGGCATGTGTATTGTTTATAGGTAAATTGTATACAATGTCCTATTTGGTATAATTGGAAGATTCATCAACTTATTATTTAAACAATGAGAGGTTGTTAAAGTTTAAGAAGAGCTCGTTGGTTATACCGTATAAGTATGGACAGCATTACTACGCTAACAGTAATATATTTAAAGAAAAAAGCCGTGCTTGAAAAATAATGCAAAGTAATAGGAAGCAAATTAGGTCACTATTTCTGCTCTTTGCCTGTAAAATGATGGTAGCCCTAACGACAGAGTATATTTTTAATATCAATGTAGTGAATAAGCGACTTCCAAAATCGGATGGGAAATATGAGGGGCTGGTATTCACGTTATTCTTCGTTGGTAGGAAACCGCTTGCGGAGGAAGTTGTAGCTGGGGCAATGTAAACAAGGAAACGAAAAGCCCGTTTCTCGTGTTTTGTTGTTGTTAACGTTACATTCCTTCGTTTGTATCTTCCCCAAATAATCCTGCTTTTCGAGATTCGGAACGAGAGACCAAATGCAGACCAATGCGGCGAGTGACCATCTTTGCCACCCATGCAAGCATATATCTATCAATCAGTCAATCTGTGTATCTCTGATGCGTGACTATCGATAGATGTTTTTTGTTTCTATGCGTTTATCGCTTTACTGCTAACCTACGATCTCTATAGCCGTTAAAAAACTCAAACAGATGATGTTGCCGTCGTTTGTTGAATTATCTGTCAAATCGCCCATCATCACCTTGAATGATTTGCTGGCCGAAGATAACCGTTACGTGTACGCATAGGTACGTGATATGGCTTTCGGCCGCCATGTTCCACGCGAGAAGCACGTTACATTAGCTAAGAGAAATTGCTTACCGTTTCACACTTGGAATATGCACGGTATTACAAATATTCATGTTACTGAACAGCATCTTGTTCTGAAATGTTGTGTTTTCCTATGAATTGGTACAATATATCAGAGAGAACTAAGTGACAATCGTCTTAGTCACTCCGAAACTGAAATACTGTTGCTATACTTATATATTGTTTGAACAAACTATGGTATAAAAATAGCCCTGAGCAAACACCGTTTGATTGAAGATGAATTATTAAAGCAAACTAATTTATTTCTAAACTGTTCTATGACGCGCCATTTTAACAATCACTAACGTGACTCAGAACATTGGCTAAATAGGCATATTATATAATGGCAGATACAGTATAGTACCATGAGATAGTCATCTTTTATTCGTTGTATTTTGCTCTGGATATATCATAGGCGCAACAGTTCGACAGGAGGTTTGATCGTTTCTGTTTTTTGGCCAATTGCGTCCTGTTGAGCATAAATTTTACCTCGAATCTTAATATAAAGAGACCTAATTTTGATTCAGGTGAAATCAATTGTAGCTATATCATCATTTAGAAAAAGAAAAGCGAAATCTTAAAAAGTAGCTCAACTAGCTGAAAGTGACACCTCGGAACCACGTCGTCGACCGCATTCTACGATTCCAGCACGATAAGAAAGCAGCATCATTTTGATCGGTTTGTCCGAAAATGAGTACCGTGGCCCCATCCGGTTATAGGCAAGTACAAAGTCTGATTAAGGTCAATATTTTGTTGGAAGTTCTTAATGTCACAGCCTCAAAAATCTTCCGATTGACCCCTGAGACTTTGAGCGAAGCGAAAGAGTTAACACTTTACACCTGGGCCTTCACTAGACGCAGAGAATCTAGACAAGCAGCTTAAAAGCCTAATTCGAAACAAAGAAGCTATTTAATATCCATTGTGCTTGTTTTGCTGTAAAAATTTTCGCTTCATGCGCCGAAAAATATGCGTGTAGTTGAACAGTTGGACGGTAGACAATTAAAACCGTCTAATTAAAAGCCATTTTCAATCACATCCCAGCTAGTATCACGTCACGTTAAAGTCACACCGAGGCCTTACTCGAATGGGCAGCTCATTGCAAGGTCTGAGTTACTACAGCCGACAACGGCGCGTTGCTCTACTGGCCACCTTCTGCTGGTTTAGTGAGAAACCGGACAGGCATAGGAAGCTAAGGAGACCTTTAAGTTATTCATAGAGTAAAGCCGTTGGCGAAGCTGATCGTGATGATATTGCTATAGGACAACGTGTTTCGAGGCGTCATGTGAACGTGGCGTACTCAGCGTGGCAGAGTTTAAGCTCGACGAAACTGAACACAGGGGCGGAAGCAAGCAATTGACACAGCGGAACAGAACCCAGGTGCTAGCCCCGTCTTTGAGTTTGACCCAGCTATCAAAAAGTGATAAATGTAGTCAGCCGTTGCTGTTATCGACAGGGGAGACGCACGAAGTGACTATTGAGAAATGAACGGTAAAAGAAGGTAGAGGGTGGAAATAGTGAATAGAGTCAACAGCAACAACGCAGTGAATAGCAGTGAAAGACGGCATCGTCAAACAAACGAGCTATATACGCCAATAGAAAGAATCAGTTAGGCGGTTCAGTGTTACAGGGGACGATGTGTGCCGTTGCAAAGTCAAATGAATGAATCTCCTCCAATGTCTCTGCCTACTGCTGTATAAATATAAATAAAAGGCAATGTCGTTCGCCGATGTTCGTAGCAACGGAAAAAGGCTCTTATCGTCTATAATGCCAAAACATGCTTAAGAATCTCTGCTGCTTAACTATGGCCTGAAGCGTAGCTTCTTACTGAAAAGAGCAATGAGCTAGTAATAAATGAATGGTCAGGTTGAATCGAGTCTGACACACGACGACAAGGCGCGAGCAGTCGGCGCGGGACAGAGAGTCGAGTCATGGCGTCTAAAGCCGCATCTTGTGTTTATTTGGCAAACGGCCTTCGTTAGAGCGGCGGAAAGCCAGTCATGAATCTGATCGATGTAGCCAAACAACGAACCCGAACAGGCAACTGATAGCCGAACGGGCGCTATGGCAAAATGGCTGCAAAAGTTCACGAGGAAACGCTTGTGTACTAACGCTAATAATGGAAACACTTTTTCCATCATGCAGTACACACTGATGTGCCAACTGTGCAGTCCACCGATCAGGCGACTGCTGTGGGCGACTATTTTCCGTGTGCCGGTTCCGTGCCGACCCTTGCAGTTAGTACCGGTGGCCTTGTCTACACGTGACAAATGCTGTCACCACGTCCATGCTGCTGCTGCTGCTGCTGCTGCTAAGCGATAGATGGATCGTGTTGGGTTGATTCTTCCTGTGGGAACCTACTACTACTACACTGGCTGGTCTACTGTTAGTATTATAAGTGGCTAAAACTTCAAATCGTTATAGCAGAAGAGCTGGCAAAGATCCTTAGTTCAGCCAATTCACTGCTTGAGTTGAAAAAGTTCCGCGCGGACGACGGTGATATTGGCTAACTATAAAAGATTTATGTAGCGCATTATAGTAATTTATATAGAATTTCGCGCTAGTGTAGCTTACGGATTGACCTATCCTATTTGACTTCCTGTCAAATTTCAGGTGGCCGAGGTTAAGCGTTCACGAGCTGCGTCAGTCGACGAATTGATCATATGGACTAGCACTCACGTTATCTCTTTATTTTAGTAAACACGGTGAATCCAAGGCCCTTTCATTAAAATCTCTATGAAGAATACCCAGAAACGAAAATGATCACCGCCTTGATTTGCCGTCGTGAATTCATACATCCAGTCCGACAACCCCGACACTAATTATCCATTTTATGCCCTCGCCTAAATAAGAGATAAAATGTTTTTTCCATTCTGTTCATTTGTGTTTGGGGAGTACTGGGACGAGTGGGTACCGTCAAAGAAGTGAGCAAACGCCTATATAGATATGTATGAAACACAAACACCATTAGTAATTAAATAAT